TCCCTTTTGAGTTCCTTTTAATTCTTTTTCTTGCCTAATTGCTCTGGCTAGAACTTCTAACTATGTTGAATAGAGGTGGTGAAAGTAGACTACCTTTCCCTGTTCCAGATGTTGGAGGAAAAATTTTCAGGCTTTCACTGCTGAGTATCAGGTTCACTGTGGTTTTCATATATAGTTTTTATCATGTTGAGGCAGTTTCCTTTTATTCCTAGTTTATTAAGGGTTTTCATGAAAGGGTGTTGAATTTTGTCAAGTGATTTTTTTGTACCAAAGGAGATGATCATGTGGTTTTTCTCCTTTACTCTGTTAATGTAGTGTATTACATTGATCAATATTTATATATTGAAGCACTCTTGCATTCCAGGAATAAATCCAATTTGTTCATCATGTGTAATTCACTTAATATGCTGCTGAGCTTGGTTTGCTAGTATTTTGTTGAGGATTTTTGCATCATATTCATAGGAATATTGGTGTATCATTTTCTTGCAGTGTCTTTGGCTTTGGTATCAGGATAATATTGGCCTCATAGAATCAAAATGTTCCCTTTTCTTCAGTTTTTTGGGAAAGTTGAGAAGGATTGGTATTCCTTAAATGTTTGTTAGAATTCACAGTGAAGTCATCAGGTCCAGGGCTTTTATTAGTTGGAAGATTTTTGATTACTGATTCAATCTCCTAATTCTAGTTATAGGTCTAATCAGATTTTTTTTCTTTGTGATTTAGTCTCGGTAGGTTTTGTATTTTTAGGAATTTGTCAGTTTCATCAAGTTATCAAACATGCCTATAAAGTGTGACTCCTAGCTCATAGTATTGTTATATTCCTTTTATTTCTGTAGAATTAATAGTAATGTCCTCATTCTCATTTCTAAATTACCAAAAGTAATTTTTTTCTCTATGCATCTAACTAAAGATTTGCCAATTTCGGTGATCTTTTCAAATAATCAACTTTGGTTTCCTTGTTTTACTCTATTGTTTTTCTTTTCTCTGTTTCTTTTATCTCTGTTTCTAATCTTGTACTAGCTTTGGGTTTAGTTCTTTTACTAGTTCTATAAGTTGTAGTTAGATTATTGATTTGAGATCTTTCTTGTTTTTTGATGTGTGTATAGCTGTAAGTTTCCCTCTTAACCCTGCTTTCACTGCTTTCTATAAGTTTTGGTATGTTGTGCTTTAGTTTTCATTTTCCTAATTTCCTCTGTAATTTCTTTGATCTGTTGGTTGTTTAGGAGTACGTTGCTTAATTTCCACAAATGTGTAAATTTACCTGTTGGTTTCTCACTTCATCCTATTGTTCTTTATTTTTTAAAATCTTAAAAAGACTTTATTTATTTGTTCAGGAGAGACACAGAGAGAGTCAGAGACACAGACAGAGGGAGAAGCAGGCTCCCCGGGGGAAACCTGATGTAGGATGTGATCCCAGGACTCTAGGATCACACACCGAGCCAAAGGCAGATGCTGAACCACTGAGCCACCCAGGCATCCCTCCTATTGTGCTTTAATAAGATACTTTTATGAAAACTGTCTTTTGAAATACATTGAGACATAATTTATGGCCTAACAGATAGCCTGTCCTGGAAAATGTCCCTTGTACATGAGAAGTATGTGAATGCTGCTATTTAATAACATTCAAAACTCGGGATCCCTGGGTGGCACAGCGGTTTGGCGCCTGCCTTTGGCCCAGGGCGTGATCCTGGAGACCCGGGATCGAATCCCACGTCGGGCTCCCGGTGCATGGAGCCTACTTCTCCCTCTGCCTGTGTCTCTGCCTCTCTCTCTCTCTGTGTGACTATCATAAATAAATAAAAATTAATAAAAAATTTTTTTAAAAATAACATTCAAAACTCTCTTTTTACAGCTCCATCCCAACTCCTTTCAATTGTTGATATTACAGAATTACGTCTTTATACATTGCCCCAAAACACAATCTAATAATTATTTTAAGTATATTTGTATTTTTTTCCAGGGTATATTTGTATTTTAAATTATATAGAAAACAGTACGTAGAATTACGAACCAAAGTTACAATAGTACTAGTTTTTAGACTAATAATTTTTAAAAATATATTATTCTCTTAAATCACATAGAAAACAAAAAAGAGTTACAAATTATTGTTAACCATAATACTAGCTTTTATAACTGCCCATGTATTTACCTTTACTGAAATTTCTATTTCTTTATACAACTTTGAGTTACTGTCAAGTGTCCTTTCATTTTTCCCTGTAGGATTCTCTTGAACATTTCTTGCAGGGCAGGTCTAGTAGCAATGAACTCTTAGAGCTTTCATTTATTTGGGAATGTCTTTATTTCTCCCTTAAAGGACAGTTTTGCTAGATATAGGATTCTTGGCTGATGTTTTTGTTGTTGTTGTTAAGCAGTGTGAATATATTGACCTACTGCTTTCTGGCTTCCAAAGTTTCTGATGAGAAATCTGTTAATGTATTAAAAATTTCTTGTGTGTGATGAATCACTTCTTTCTTGCTGTTTTCAAAAGTTTCTCTTTATCTTTGGCTTTCAAAAGTTTAATTATAATGTGTCTTAGTGTGGATACATCTTTGAGTTTATCTTACTTGGAGTCTGTTGAACTTCTGGGATGTTAATATTCATGTATTTCATCAACTTTGGCATTGTTCAGCCATTATTTCTTGAAATATTCTCTCCTGCCCTTTTTCTTTCTCTTGTCCTCTGGGACTCCCACAATCTGTATGTTGATCTGCTTACTTGTGTACCATAGGTCTCTTAGGCTCTATTCACTTTTATTCAATTTTTTCTATTTCTCAGACTTGACAGTTTCCTTTGGTTTATCTTCAAGTTTGCTAATTGTTTCTTCTGTCTGCTCAACTCTGCCTTTGAATCCCACTGAAGAATTGCTCCTTTCAGTTCTACTTTTCAACTTCAGAGTTTCTATTTGGTCTCATATTAAGTTCTTGTCTTTTTATTGATATTTCCATTTGTACATCATTTCTTCTCCACACCTTACTTTAATTTTCTGAGCATCTGTAAGACAGTTGTTTTAAGGTATTTGTCTAGTAGATCTGCTATCAGGTCATTTTCAGGGTCAGTTTCTTTCTTTTTTTTTTTTTAAGACTTTATTTATTTACTTATGAGAGAGAGAGAGAGAGAGGCAGAGACACAGGCAGAGGGAGAAGCAGGCTCCATGCAGGAAGCTCGATGCGGGACTTGATCCCGGGATTCCCAGATCATGCCCTGGGCTGAAGGCAGGGGCCAAACCATTGAACCACCCGGGATCCCCTCAGGGTCAGTTTCTGTTGATTTATTTTTTTCCTTTGAATGAGCCATCATTTTGTGTTTCTTATTATGACTTATGATTTTTTTTGTTTAAAACTGGACATTTGGATGTGATAATGCAGGAACTCTGGGAATCAGATTCTTTCCTTCCCCAGAGTTTACTGTTTTTTTGTTTTGTTTTGTTTTGTTTTGAATTTTTGTAGGCTGTTTCTACAGTTTACAAGGATCAGTCAAGGATCAGCCTGAACTGTAAACTTAAGATCTCAGTTTTTTGAGCTTGTGCCCTTCCCTGGAAATGACTGTTTGCTTTCTAATTTCCTCCATATGTATAGTTGTTTTTGAATGTCCTGGTTTTGAATGTCTGGTTCCCAAAAGGGGAGAGGAGAATAATTTAGAGAGAGAGAAAAATGCTTTAAATTCCCTGGAGGTTACCAGATGGGAAGGGCTTATGACAACAGTGGAGGGTGAAGGTGCAACACCAACAAGTGCCCTCCTGTTTGTCTGCAACTCTGTGATCAGAAGCAGCAACTGACAATCTGAATGCAGATCTCCTATGTTTCGGGGACAGAGCCTTTTTCTCCACTGCTGCTCCCGCAAGCAGTGGTCAGGTTGTTCCAGGAACATATACACAGCTGCATGCTGCTGGGGCTCAGAGTGGATAAATACTACCTGGCTAAGAGCCAAAATTGACCACAGTTAACCACAATTTTACTTCCCCTGGGAGTTGCCTTCAATAGACTTTATTTAGGGTTCCAAAAGAGTTACATTAGATTCTGGCAGTGCAGTTGTTTAGGTGGGGAGACAGATTTCTGGTGCTTCCTAGTCTACTTTATTCCCAGAATCCTTTCTGTCTATTGCAATTTTTTAAAGGGCTCATAAACTTTAAGGACTTTCTGACTTCTCTTACTTATTTCTTCACTGTATTAATAAAAATTATGGATGGAATTAGTGTTTTTATTTTCTGTACTTCTTAATAGTCAGGCTTCATCACTTTCTCTGACAATTTAATGCATGATTTATTAACTTGTCAGCATATTTATGAGTTTATGAAGTAAGAAAAATTCTATAATCCTCTCTAATTCTAGCTTGGGAGCCTGGTTAATTTTGTGGATGAAACTCTCATTGCACATGTTGGTTAAGAAAATCTTATTTGGGGGTACCTGGGTGGCTCAGTTGGTTAAGCATCTGTGTCCAGCTCAGGATCCTGGGGTCCTGGGTTTGAGCCCCACATTCAGCTCTCTGCTTAGCAGGGAGTCGCTTCTCCCTCTCCCTCTGCCTGCCACTCTACCTGTTTGTGCACACTCTCTCTTTAAATAAAATCTCAAAAAAAAATAATAAATAAATAAATCTCAAAGAGAGAGAGAGTAAGTGAGAGAGAGAGAGAGAGATATCTTATTAGAAGTTATTGAATGTAAACATGAAAAATCTTGGATTTTCAAGAGAAACTGACATAGGTTTAATACTGGCTTAGTCAATCACTATTTGAACTTAGGCCTAGAAGTGGTCTCTTCATCTCTAACACAAGCATATTGGTAAAGTTCTCTATGCAAGATTGTTTAAATAAGAGGAAAAAAACCAAATTGGAACATATAAAGCAATCAATAGTAGGTAATGATTTTTATTAAAATTATTTTGATACCAAATCTCATCCAAATTATTTCCTTTATTCAACTTTCTGTTTAGTTTTTTCTTGAGTTCTAGTGAGTTTCATAATGGAGTTTATAAAGAAATTTTAAATATACCCCTTTGCTTATTTTAAGATTTTCAAATGCCTTTGGAAGAGGAATCAGAATTTACAAATATGGACAAAGCTGCCAGAGTCATTCAAAATGCCTGGAAATGTTTCCTTGTGAGTTTCTTTCTTTTTTATTTATTTTTTGATAATTATTGAAATATGATTTTATATATCATAAGGTCCATCTGTTGAAAATGTACAATTCAGTAGTTTTTAGTATATTTACAGATCTGTGTACCCCCCTTTGCTTTAAAAGAACACATTTTTTAGAAGTTCAAAAAAGTTAACATTAATTAATTATCTCATTAGCCTCACAAATCCTTACTGAGCTCCTGATCAGGGCCAGGCACTTTGATAATGCCTGCTTGTGCACACTCTCTCTTTAAATAAAAGTATCAGTAATAGGGTTATCAATTAAAGTATCACTAATAGGGTTATTAGTGGTTTTCACCTCTAAAACTTTCTTTCTTTCTTATTTTTTTTTAAGATTTTATTTATTTATTCATTAGATACACAGAGAGAGGGGCAGAGGCAGAGGGAGAAGCAAGCTCCATGCAGGAAGCCTGATGCGGGACTTGATCCTGGGACTCTGGGATCATACCCTGAGACAAAGGCAGATGCTCAATCGCTGAGCCACCCAGGCATCCCTAAAACTTTATTTCTTGTCTCAGGAATCAGGTTTCTGATAAGGTGTTAGGGATACATTCACTATTTATTAAGTACCTATTCTTGAAGACAAGGTTTAATAATAAAGTATATATCAGTTGATGTACTTATTTATCATGTATAGGGCTGGTCTCATTGGTGTAAAGAATAATCCAAGTTGATTTACCTGGTTGGATGAGAGCCAGTAGCTAAAATGACTCCGTTTCCTCTGTGATAGCAGCAACACTGTGTTTGATAATTTTGTGTGAAGTGATATGGTTCTGTTTCTAGCACACAGGAATACCTTTGCATTGGTTAATCAAGTCTTGCAAGATAGATTCCATTATTTGTTTCTTTTGCCTCTTTCAAAGCCATAAAATGCATAACTATTGATTTCCAACACTAAAATAATATTTTTTTTATTTTTTTAAGATTTTATTTATTTATTCATGAGAGACACACACACACACACACAAAGAGAGAGAGAGAAAGGCAGAGACAGGCAGAGGGAGAAGCAGGCTCCATGCAGGGAGCCTGATGCAGAACTTGATCCCGGGACTCCAGGATCAAGCCCTGGGCTGAAGGCAGGTGTTAAACCACTGAGCCACCCAGGGATCACAATAATTTTCTTTTAAAATCTATTCCTTTGATGGTTTCTGAGAGCCTACTTGTTTAAGATTTTCTGTCATTTGTAACGTCCTTTATCCCATATCCAAATCCAATGAGCCACATTACTTTGTATACCTTTTATGTTCCTAGTACTGTGACAGTCTTGTTACAAAACCTCCTTGGCCTTAGGGAGTTTCAGTAGAAAAACCCTGTATGTAAACAGACTAAGTGTGTGTGTTTGTGTATTTTAACAAGATGGTAAACTGAGCACACATTTCACTTTTTGTACCTACAGGACCCTATTGCAATGACAATATACAGAAAGTTAACCCATACCAGAGAGAAGGGAGTTCATGAGCAGATTAATTTTATCGCATTTTGGAAAATCAAAAATAGATAGTAGCATTCCATTGGACAGAATTGCATAAAATACTTGCCTAGACACATTTCAGAGAGGCTCCACGAAGAGAGCTGGTTTGCCATTGAAACCCTAGAAAGGATATCAGTTCAGAGTTAGCAATTTAAAACAGATGGAAGAAGAATGACTGTAGGCAAGGGGATTAATTGTAGTGTAGTGTAGTGGAGTGTAGCTGTGCCAATTGTCTGTGTCATCACTTCAAGCCACAAAGCTGCAGGTACATGGGTATTTACTATTGATCAAATATTTTGCAGGTAGATGGATATTTACTATTAGAAAAAAAAAAATTCCCGGGCAGCCCCAGTGGCGCAGCGGTTTAGCACCGCCTGCAGCCCAGGGCCTGATCCTGGAGACCCTGGATCGAGTCCCATGTCAGGCTCTCTGTATGATGCCTGCTTCTCCCTCTGCCTGTGTCTCTGTCTCTCTCTGTCTCTATGAATAAATAAATAAAATCTTTAAAAGAAAAAAAATTCCCAATGGCTTCTCTCTTTCTTAAAAACTTAAATGAATGATTTAGGAAAGCTAATTCTATTATAGATAGGGCACTCCATATCTCTTAATCTTCATATTTGACTAAATACTATTTGACTAAATAGTATTTGATTAATTACATATTTGATTGATGGCTACCTAACCATATTGTCTTAAGATAGTCTGTTGATTGTCCTGTTCCACCCACAAAGCTCCCAGAGCATTTTCCCATTCATTTGTGAGAACAATGGGAAAATAAGAGACTTAGAAGAAAACCCAGGATACTCAGGTTAGTTTTCTAGAAAAATTAACACAGACCTTTATTCTTAAGTATTAATGTACCACCAAGGATCAACTGATATTTAAGGAAAATCAATGATATAAAAAGAAAGAAAGAGAATGAGAAAATAAAAACAGGAAAGAAATAAAAATGATCATCAATTAGATAAGATCAGTACATTGAATGGCTCTAAGTGGGCTATATTTGGAGATAAAATGGTACCCCCTGAAACAGTTTGATTTAAAAAGTGGTTAGAAACTGAAAAGAAACTAACCATGAAAGCCATGGTTCAGATATAAGGATAATTAAAATAGTTCTGAGATTCAAAGAGAATACATTTGATCTTAAGTCCAGAAGTATTCTGCTTCAGATGGCTCAGAGAATGACTAAATGTAGATGACCTCTAAATACTTGGCCCTGTAAATGAAAATCTACATAGACTAATGTAAATGAAGATATTTTCTCACATTTGAATATTTTGGATCAAAATAATACATATATTTCTTTAAGTAAAATAATATAGAAGAACTTACAAATAAAAGCACTTCTTTTACCCCCTCTTACTCTTCTCTACCCTCATATCCTAAAGGCAACCACTTTTGTTTTTTGTTTTAGAACTTCTAGGGCAGCCCTGGTGGCTCAGTGGTTTAGCGCCACCTTCAGCCCAGGGTGTGATCCTGGAGACCCCAGATCGAGTCCCATGTCTGGCTCCCTGCATGGAGCCTGCTTATCCCTCTGCCTGTGTCTCTGCCTCTCTTTCTCTCTGTCTCTCATGAATAAATAAATAAAATCTTTAAAAAAAATAGAACTTCTAGTAGTTATTTCTATGTTTCTGCATAATATGCTTGCATAATTATCTTTTATTTACTAACTTTAGAAGTGACCTGTTGACTTTCTGTGAAGATGATTGACAGCTTATCTTGTTTATCTCTCCTCCAGTATCATATGTGATTATTTTTTAGTTCCTCTATTTGTTACCTTATTTCTTTGAAGAATATTTAAACCTTTATTTCTTGTTCCATTATGTTACATAAGATTATGTGACTCCCTATTATATATGATGAAGATATAAATATCCCTACCCCCCTTTTCTTTTTTACCTATCCTCCCAATGTTCAAACACTCAAATCTCATTACATCTACTATTACACTGCCAACATTTACTTGGAGGAATCTCTCATATATCCTGAACACAAGTCCTTAACTGAATATATGTACTGCAAATATTTTCTTGAGGCCTCATTGCATTCCTTTTTTTTTTTTTTTAAGATTTTATTCATTTATTCATGAGAGACACACAGAGAGAGGCAGAGACATAAGCAGGGGGAGAAGCAGACTCCCTACAGGAAACCTGACACAGAACTGGATCCCAGGACCCTGAGATCATGACCTGAGCCAAAGGCAGATGCTCAACCACTAAGCCACCCAGGCACCCCCTGCCCATTGCATTCTTAAAGGTGGTTTATGATAATGAGAAGTCTTTAATTTTTTTAAGTCAAATTTATCACTTATTCTTTATGGTTAGTGATTTCTGTGTCCTGTTTAAGAAATGTTTGCCTAGGGGCACTTGGGTGGGTCGTTGGCCTTGTGAGATCAAGCCCCGCCTCAGGCTCCCTTACAGTGGAGTCTGCTTGAGATTCTCTCTCCCCCTTCCTTTGCCCCTCCCCTCTACATATGGTCTCTTTCTCTAAAATAAATAAATAAATCTTTTTAAAAATATGTGTTTACCTAAAGAAGTGACAATATCAAAATGGCAACATAGGTCATTCTCAACCTCAGTTGCCCTATGAGAAGACCAAGTAGCAACTATCCATAGAAAGTATTCTTGTGAAAATCCCTGAGCCCAGGACCACAGACACCAGGAAGACCCATTAGAAGGATAAGAGAAGGGGTTTCACTTAGATCACACCGACTGACATAAAGCAGCCCTGAGTGGACCCCACTGAGACTGTCCTTTCCCCAGTGGGGAAAGAGATCCCAAGGGAGACACCCAACTTACCTAGCACTGTATTACATGTCAGATATATTGAAATAAATCTAGGGGAAATGTTTATCTAACCCAAAGCCAGAGGTATTTTCCTTATGTTTTTTTCTAAAAGAACTTTAATTGCCTTAGTTGTAGATTGTCCATCTCAGATTAATGTTTGTGTATGATGAGAGGTATGGACAAAGTTCATTTTTCTCTTTATGGATAACCAAATGATTAAGTAAACTTTTACTGAAAGTACCATCCTTTCCATAGTAAATTGCAGGAGTACCTTTGTTTAAATCATGTAATCATACATGTGAAGTGTTTCTGTAGTCTCTGTTCAATTGCACTGGTTTATTTGTCTTTTTCTGGTTCAATACCACACTGTCTCAGTAACTGAAGCTTTATCAGAAGTATGGGTATATGGCACTACAGTTCTCCAACTTAGATGTTCTTCATGATTATCATAGCTATTCTAGGGCTTTTGCATTTCTAGGTAAATAGTAGAATCATTTCATTAATTTTTGCAAAAATTATTGTGGAGATTTTAATTGGGATTGAATTGAATTAATATACCAATTTGGGGGTGAACTGACATTTCACTACACTGAGTTTTCTGAACATGGTGCATATCTTTATTTATTAGATCTTTTAAAATTTTTCTTTACAATGTCTTATAGTTTGCAGTATAGAAGTCTTAAACATCTTTCATTTAACTTCTG